GCCAAGCGCACTAACTGGAAGTATGCAGCCTAAGTTCTAGGAACCTGACGTACCTTCATCCGACGTGTGAGAGCATTTTAGAATCTCATTAACAAGGGATTCCCACACGAATTTTCTCGTTGATCTTTGGTGGATTTCATGTATTACGTGGTAGGAGCTTAGCTATTTTACAAACAAATTTCACTCCACAATATTTTGGTTATAGCCTTCAACCGACTTTACGCAGAAAGGGCATTGGCTCATTTAGGTATTATCAGCTTAATTCACAGTTGCTTGAAAATCATTATATAGTAGAAAGGGAAATTTGATACTTCTCACATTCTTCACACACCAACGATCTTGTTTGTACCGCTTGTGCCCTGAGACTGGCGATGGCGGAAGTGATGTTTTGCTATTCTAGAAAATTTCCTATGAATGATAAAATTCGAGAGCACAACAAGTTTCTGGATTTATTGGGCCAGTCTGTCCAGTATTAAACTTTGGAGTTTTTAAGGTGGGTACCACTAGAAGTTTTTAATTTAACTTTGAAATTTTTGAAGGAAACACACGAGCAAAATATCTTCCTAAAGTTAATATCTCAGTAATGAATAAAAGTTCCACATTCTTCTGTTGAAAATCAAGCCGCTAACATAGCCCATGCTGTTGACATCCAGAGCTTCCAGTATTTGAAAGATGTAGCCACATACAGAACACTGCTGAATCAGGCTACTTTTGCTGGGACTGCTTACCTCCAATAGTGAGCTCACAAAATTTGTCCATAGTTTGATTGAAGCTGCTTTTTTGATAGTTTTTTGCCTTGCAGACTATCACTCACTGATACGTGGCGTTCATTTGCTTGAAGTAAAGCCAGCAAGTTGTTCTGCTCACCAAATTTTTTTCCTTATGGATGCAACCTGGAGTAGCGCTAATCTTCTGACAGAGCGGACCCGTTTTTTGGAACTTCGTGAAGACAAACATTTGCTGTAAGCAACCTTCGCTTCATTACCCTCGCCGTCGCAGTCTTCATTTCCTGTAGCTTTTGTCAGCAGCTGTATTTTACATCCGTCCAACATCACCACGTCCAAGCTTAGTTCGATCTTCCCAATCGAATTGTTGGCACAGATTTTTCAGCACTCTGCATTAAATCAACTGTGCTTCGTAATATGTACCAGCTGGCAGCCATTTGACGTCTCTCCTCCTGCTGTAGATCCGGTGCATAATTGTTTCTTAGTTGAGATGCGTGCAGCGCCACTTTCTTGCAGATCCATGCAGTCTGTTGGCATTGGCATTTGGCATGCTGATATTCTGGATCTCCGTTTTATGCGTTTTTGCCTATATGCAAATTGCAAAAACACATATTGCAACGACCCTGTCTGTGTGTGTTCGTCTATCCGGGTATTTCAACTCGGCAATCAAGGAAATTCCAGTGCCCGGGCCAAATGCCACACCAGAACCGCGGTACCAACCCTCATGCAAGTCTAGGCCCCGCATACGAGAGTGTGAAGGTTTTGGCGGGAAAATTGATAATTCGGGAGTGAGAAAGTAGAAAGCTGAAACTTTGAGGTTTTGTTCCCCTTTCACATAAAACTCAAACATTTCAAATTCAGCTCCCAGGTGTGCGTGGTTCCCGCGTACAGACCTATGAGGGTTTCTGGCGCGAAAATCGCTAACTTAGGAACCAAGGAAGCTGGGAGGCTGAAATTTTCAAGGAATGTTCCCAGCGTGAGTGTAACATAAACCTATCAAATTCAGCCCCCAGTCGTACGTGGTTCTCATGTACGACTGGGAACTGAATTTGATAGGTTTGTGTTATACTTATGCTGAGAACAAATTTCACTTACGGCTCCGTGAAATTTTTTGGCGGGAAAATGGCTAACTCGGAGACTAGCAAAGCTAGGGGGCTAAAATTTTCAGGGGATATTCTCAGCCCATGTACGACTTAAATTTATCAAATTCAGGCCCCAGGTATGCGCGGTTCTCACGTACGGCTCTATGATACTTTTTTGGCGCGAAAATAGCTAACTTGGGAACCAGCGAAGCTGGAAAGCTGAAATTTTCAGGGGATGTTCCCAGCCTACATAGAACTTGAAAACTCCAAACCGAGCCTCCAGGTGTGCACCAGGTCACGTGCAGCCCTGTGAAAGTTTTGGGAAAAATTACTAACTCGGGCACAGAAAGGCTGAAAAGCTGAGATTTTAGGAGAATATTCCCCGTACAAATACAACTTAAAGGTTTCAAATTCAGCCTCCATTTACGCGTGGCTCTCGTATACGGGCACTTAAATTTTTGGCGGGAAAATTGCTCTTTGAACAGCTGGGTCATTTTCAAAAAACGACCGCCAAACGGAATTTATTTCCTTTTATGCAAAATTTACGATGATTTGCGATATTGAGCGCGTAAGGTAGGTGTGAATGCGTGCAGTTAACCTAATTACTTTAAGTTTGGTGCAACAACGCATGATCGTACCAGCTTGCATGTTGCGTTCCAGCCTGGGTTACCTGTTAATTCTCACATTCATTCTCACACGCCTTGTATCTTGGCTTCTGGAGCATTCTCTTCACTTCGTCAACATTATCATTGATGAAGAATAGCGTAAATAACTAAGCCGTACATCGTTAAATTTTAAATCATCTTTCTTATTCAATTTACGATGAACTACTTCGAAGAGGGCCGTAAAGTTTTGGACTTCAACAGATCACCTTTGCTTCGTGTCTTTTGCACTTTTATAAAAATTGGAGTTTGGTTCCTATATCATTTTGAGGCAGATTTAAACGTGCACTGGACGGAAATGGATATAAGGGGTGACACTTTTGTTACTATGTTAAAAAACAGAAATCGCAAACCTTTTGCTACTCCACCATATTTAAAGCCGAAAATGTGTGGTTCACTGTTATCTCAACATCTGGGTTTTTTGCATAATGCAAAATGCACGGAAACCGAAAAAGTTTGCTTTCCGGAACAGCGTTCTTTTTCATTTTAAAAACACTGATATGAAAATATGCTTTTTTTGTAAACCTTTGTAACTTACCCGATGGAAAATCGTCTACAGGAATCATCTGCAGAATAATCGCGCGGGGGTCGGTAATCTCTAAGCAAATAAGACGAATATACTGCTGCATGCATTATTCTGTGCTTCTTATGACGGCCTTGTTAAATTTGTCACTTAGATGAAAATATACTTTTTATGCAGCAACTTATTTTTCTTATAAGACTGGAACATTAACATCGCGCGACACTTTTTAAGGCTTTTCCTGAAACACGAAAATGATGCGTTCGTACGCGCTACTGCACATTTTATGGATGCTGTCGCGTTAGAAGTGGCATATCATGTACTATCACGAAAACAGACTGAAATGCGCGTACTAAACGTAAAATGGTGTGCTCTTTACTTCTAGGTGCACAGCCTCATCATTAGCTTCTTGCAGACACGTACCTAATCTCGTGCATGCAATAACTCATCACTGTTGCTGTAGCTTTGCTCCCACACAACGATGAGGTCAATACTTCTGGGAAAACCAACTCGAATGTAGACAACAACGGCATCAAGCAGACTGGAGCTGACAGTCCATTTTTTTTTTTTT